ATTTTCTTTTCCTCCTTCATGGGCATCTAGAACATAGGACCCAATCCCTTGCACTTGAATATGGCCACATGCCTGGAAACTTGCTAGTGGAATGTGAGAAGTGACGAGTGCTGACTCAAAACCCCACACATGTAATCCCATATCATTATCCTCTGTGGTCACATTGGAAGCCACTTGTTGAAACTAGAAGGGGGACAAAGTTAGAAAGTATTTTTGTCTCTAAATCATTGCTGAGAGAAGAGCTACCCACAACTCAGGACGCCCTTTCAAGACTGGATCTGAGGTCCTGTGGTGGTGAGGGGATGAGATGATGCCCTTTGTCTTTTACAGTGATGAACATGACCTTAGTCAATCTTGAAGTTGCATCTTACACGTGAAGGAATAGAGAGACTTCGAAAGATCAAACAATGCAACTTCCTGTTAAAGTGGTAGAACTGAATCCAACACCCAAACTAATTCCACATCCCCAGAACTTGCCAAAAGCAAGGTTGCTCTCTCCCAACCTTTCTGATTTTAGAAGAGCTTTATATATACCTTCAGGCCATTTGCAGGTTCTCAATCTTTTCAAAAGAAATATGTTCCAAACTTTTTCCAGAATTATATGCAGAGATAAGAGAAGAGCCCATGAATTAGTATCTTGGCAAGAGCAACCACAGAGATTAAGTTCTTCCTTCATTTTAATCAAATCGATTTGAAAATGAATGCAAACCTTAATCCCAAGATTTATAGCTGGGACTCTTGTCCAAGGAGTAAGTTTTAAGGTAAGATCAGTTCATTTTCTAGTTAGTTTTATTTCCATATTTCATCATTTACCATGGGCAAAAAAGATGCACAGATTACCGAATGCATTACTTTTTCATAGGATTTCTAGTCTCTCAGCATGTCTAGTTGCATGAATGTCACAGTAAAAAGATATAGGAACATAGATCACACCTGAGCTCACAAAGTCTGCCAGCGCAGCAGAGGAATTCTGGGAAAATACATACCTTGTGACCCCTTGTGCCTGTCCCTCTCCCCTCCCTCTTAGTCTCAGCACCCTCAGGATCTTTATTGATGTCCACTAGTTTCCAAAAACGTTAGTTGCTGAATTGTCTGCTGTGATTTTGCCTGATATTTGAAAAAGTGTTCATTAGGATTTATCTCGCATCTATTGCTTTCAATAGATTTTAAGATAAATGTGATGGTGAATTTGATGTGCCAGCTTGGCTGGGCCATGGTGCCTGTGTGGTCAACCATTATTCTGGATGTTTCCATGAGGGTGTTTTGGATGAAATTAACATTTAAATCAGTGAACTTTGAACAAAACAGATTGCCCTCCCTACTGTGGGTGGGCACTACCCAATCAGTTGAAGACATAAATAGAACAAAGACTGATTTCCTATATACAAAAGGGAATTCTACCAGTAGACAGCTTTCAGACTTGAACTACAGCATCAGCATTTCCTCAGTGTCTGTCTGTCTGTCTCTCTCTCTCTCTCTCTCTCTCTCTCCCTCTCCCTCTCTCTCTCTCTCTCTTCTAACTCTAGAAGAATAAGAAAGATGAATATGCTAGTCCCATCCAGAGAGAACATAGGAACAATAAGTTCACTTAGGAGATATTTACAATGCTGTTGTATGAAGCAATAAATGCCTATGGTCAAAAGAATATTTCAGTATAGTTAAACAGTCTTTGCTACCATTTTGCAGTGGATCTGTTTCTAAAATAACCTGCATTTGTGTTTAATGGAGGGAAAAGATGATTTAGGGGCTAGATTTCAGAGCTAAAATGAAAAAGGCACTTTTTATGAAGGAATTTCAACAGTAGACTATTTTATGGCAGTAAAAATATGGCAATGAAACCTACACATCTTCCACCCTTCACACACCCAATTCTTGCTCAAGAGTAAGCATCTGTCCTTCTTACAGGTTTTAGTACTGTCATTAGTACAATTCTTATATATTATCATCCCATCCCAAATTAACAACTACATGACAACCAATTTGAGTTTTGAAAATTTCTTTGACTTTTATTATAAGACATCTTTCTGGAGATGTCTATCAGGCAGTTAAAATATAGGAAAGCCTTCACAAGGCTAAGATCAGAAATCAGACCATTTGACCTTCTCTGGAGGCAGAGGGCAGTGCTGCAGGGTTGTCAGGAACAGCATCTCAACACGTCAGCCTGTCTTTCTTACCACCCAAACAATCAATGCATACCCTGAGCCTCGCGAGCTTTGTGCCTCCCAGATTTCCAATCAAGTATCCTGGAGGCAGGTTATCTATTCAGCTTTCATCATGGTTGTATTATAAATAAGCACCAGAAAGAAAAAAAAGGGTAGAAAAATTTATCCTTTTCAGAGAATTTATGTGATATAGCACCATAGTAAGTACTTAAAAGTGTTTTTCAGGGAAAAGCAAAGCACTGAGACAACCTAAGGGAAAAATATCAAAGGTCTAGAGAACTGCCCTGTATGACATCTACATAAGTTACTGCATCTCATAAACTATGAGCTTGAGAGGGTAGGAGTCTCAGCAGCCTTGTATTTTCACCATAGAACCAGCAGGTAGGATCGAAACTGCAACATTCGAACTTCTCTAATGTTTGTTTGCTGAAGAGAGAGAGGGAGGGCAAGGCTTGGGTTTGATCTGAATAGGATAATATCCAAGAGATAATAGCCAAGAAACTTCTCGATGTCTAAAATTCTATTTTAAGTTATCTTCCTCACTAGAATACAAATGTTCCCTACCATCATGAACTTAAAGTGAAATCTGTCAGACACACAAACGCCTTGTGTGAGTGGACTTTTGTGGCAGTCAGAGAAAAAAGTGATGCTAAGATGCCTGAATCCTTTCATTGGAAAAGAACCAGACTATAGAATAGGAAGAAGAGCCATAAAATGAACTAATTCTTCTAAAGCATAAGTGCAGAGAAGAGGAAAGAAAACAGTAAGTCACCTTCCCCCAAACTCTCAGAATCTCGGGAGTTACTATGAGCAGCCAGGGCAACCAAAGAGAGAAAGATGAAAAATACCAGGTCACTTTGGTGTCAGATGATAGAGGGTCTCAGCTCAAGGTACATACTATCTCAGTTTATTTCTGAATACAGGGGCATAAGATTCTATCACTACCTGCAGTTGACAAATGAGCTAAAGTTTAGGGAGCCTAACAAAGCTGCAGCCAGGTGGCAGAACCAGGATTTGAACCAAAGACCCCTAAGCTGCCTCCTCACAGGTGGAGGATATTGTAACCGCAAGCATTTTGAGGTTCCAGGACAAGGAGAGAGAAATAATAACTGCCCTGTCTTATAAAAGGACACACTTGGAAACGTTACCATGTGCTATGAAATCAGGCAAAGAAGCACCAAAACTTCCTAAGTTCAAGAGCAAATAAAATAGCTCTAATAGCAAAATAGATGATTCCCCAAACAGAAATAAAGCCAGGGAAATAGACCAGCAGGATAGCTGCAAGTTCCTTAAATGTTCACACCACCAAGTTCAGTAGCCCTGGCAAAAATTTATGTTATTTTACATGACTAATGTTATTATACATGACTAATACATAATTCTTATGTGTTAGAGGTGATTAACCCTCTAAAGAAAAAGGAGGCATGTCTGTCTTTATAATTTTATACTGACATGTAGGAAGCTGAGTCGAAACAAACAAAATAAAAACATAATTTTAAAACCCTAAAAAAATGAATTTTCCATATCATCCATGCATTGACCAAAATGAGCAATAGCTCTGAGGGTTCCCTTGATGAATTGTGTTTTAGAATAAACCAGAGCATTTCTGAAAACCAAAGTAACACTTTTCAGAAAGCGAGGCAGGGAGCTCATGTAAAATAGAAATCATGTCTTGCTCTAATAAGATTTTACTCTGAGTCATAGATGCCAACATGTCTTTGATTAGAGGGCTCTTTAATTCTAAGAATAGAGTTGACATTAGGAAACATTGAAAATATCCCATCCATCTTGAAATCATCTCTATTTGTTGCCTCTCTGAATAAAACACAAGTGAAATAAGAAACCCATTTTGCACTGACAACGAAAATCAAAGGTCTGACTTCCCACCAGGCTCTGCGCTCTTACTGCGGCCTAAGGTACCCGCTGCTCATATGTCTCCACTCTCCCTAAAATCTCTTCTGTTTCTCCTTGAGCCCGCACTGTAAAGGAAATATGGAGATGCTTTTCTGGACATAACAGAAGATAAAGGTAAAACCAAGCCAACCAGTGGCCAGCTCTCACTCTCTAAAAAAAAATTTGAAAAATGGCTAAAGGAGTTAGCACATCGACCACCCGGTCAGGAGGTTGTTTCAGCCATAGTGGGCTCCAATGGGAGCAAGCACAAAATGAGGCTTCATATTAACATAAGCAACATGTCTTTGAAGCTTGTTTTTAAGTCTCTCCTCCCTGATTTACTAAGACACAGAGATTCCATCTACTCAGAGCTGGGGTTCTGCAACCACGGATCTCAGGACCAGGAAACTCACTTCCCAACCTTCCCCATGCCCCCTCCATCCTGTCTGATCTTGGAGGCACCTGTTGCAGCGTTTTCCGCTGTGATCTTCTAAGTAAAACTCAGGCCCTAACTGACTCCTTTGCCCCTGTTCTCTGTAATTCTCCCAGCAACCTGTTTTCCCAGCTAAGTTCTCTTTTTTCCTAAATGGGAAGTATTCGGTGGGCCCATAAAAAGTGGAGGGACTACAGAGACCAAGTCTCTCTACTTCACTGCATGGCCAAAGACTCTTTGACCAAATAAAACAGAAACTCTCCCTTTGCCTGTCAAGCAGCCTCACCAGACCACCTACTCAATGCTTCGAGAAGAAAAATCAGACCCTGGTCAGCAAAGGGTGATTCCCAGACAGCAAAAAATAAATTACTCTATCAAGACACATATTTGCAATGCCAAGGAATGCAAGTTTATTGAGAAATACAGAGCAAGACAAGCTCCCATTTTCAGAGGCACCGAAGCAGAAGCCAGGAGATAAAACAGCAAGATCAAAACACGCCAAAGCCATTAGAAACTGGGGCACAGGCGGTAAATTGACTGGAAACATACAGAGGCGTGTGCGCCACCAGTGGTCAGTCCTTAAAATCAGCTTGGTGCCGGCCAGAAGCATCTTAAAGATGGCCCGAGGCAGCCTGTGCAGGGCTAGCAGCCAGCCATCAGGCAGTTGAACAGCGGTCAGCGATGAAGAGCTTTTTGGGGGGCAGGCAACTTGCTGGAAGATCCTGGAAATACAGCTGGCAGGTCATGGAGTCTTGATTCCCTCACTGGCTCCCACACACTCAGCAAGTTCTTCGGCAGCTCGACATGCTGGATCGCTGGTACATCCTGGAGACCCCGCAGGTTGGTTGACAGCCAGAGGAGATCACAGGTCGGCACACAGAGGACACTCCGCCCATTGACTGACAGCCAGAGGAGACTCCTCCCAGTGATTGACAGCCAGAGGAGACTCCCCCCACTGGCCGGCAGACAGTAGAGATGCCTCCCATTGGTTGGCACTGATTAGAGATGCCACCCGGGGACTGACAACCACTAGAGACGAAGGTGATTGGCCGGCTGTAGGAAGTTGAGCAAGGATTGGAGACACAGGTGGTTTGTCTAGTGTAGGTCACCTGGCCAGGGCTGGGGGCGCAAGCAGTTGGCGAGTAACACGTTGGCTGGCAAGCGCTGGGCTCACAGCTGGTCTCCTCACAGTGTTCCAGGAGCCAGGAGCCCGTCTGGAAGGAACTGGGCAGATAGATGCCACTCAGGCCCTCGGCATCCTGAGTAGACGTGGTGGCCACGGTGGTCACTGGGACAGTGCAGCGTCCTCCTGACCTGGAAGAGTAGTTCCTTGTGGAGCAGTTGTAGGACATGGTGTAGACAGAGCAGAGGGTGGCTGGCTGAAGTTGGCTCCTGGATGTGAATGTCACTTCTGGCTCCTGAGCTTTTATATATATCCTTGCTGGTGGGTGGGGAGCTCGCCCTGGTCTTCCTGGCTTCTTTGCCTCAGATCAGCTTGCCCTTGAACATCTTGTGAATCTACAGGTTAATTGTATCTTGAGAAGCCTTCGCCCTCATAAAGAAAGTTTAGTAGTTTGGTCAGTAAATCACAAGGCTTCTGTCCTGTAGTTAGTCCCAGAATTAAGAAGGTTGATGGACAGCTTCAAAGCTATTGGTCATCCCATCATCCCAGCCCACAGGACGTACCTCATTCATCTTGCTTGACACCATGAGTGATACCAGCCGTGCTAACCTTCTGCCGTCACATACTCTCTCCCCTCTGACCAGGACTAATGACAAACCCAACAAACTCTAGTTGGTTTGTTGTTGGCACTTAATATGCTTTAAACATAACTTAATCAGCCACTCTTCATACATAACGGAGTTTCTCATGGCCGGGGAACCTCCCTGAATATGCTTCAAGATGATGATGACAAAACCTCTCAGGGAAAAGGACACAGGATGTCTATTCTGAGTATGAACTGGCTCAAAAATTAAGCAAGTGACCAGAGGAAGGTTCGAAGGTGGTGGGACTCCCCATTTTATGTTCAAACCACAAACAGATTAGAAAAAAAATGCAGTAGGGCCGCATGTGTAGCCAAGTCCCCTCCTAATAATTGGGTGACCCTTATCCCTAAAATGGTTCATCTATTAACAAGGGATAAGAATAACTCAGAAGTTTTATATATGCCAGTGGAACAGGATTTAGTTAATTTTTTAAATTATCATAGTGTTCATCTTTCTCCCAAGATGCCCTATATAGTCAAAATATATTTATTTTCACACAAATACTTTTAGGTAGGATGCGTTTTTCTTATGGACAAACTAAAGGTTCTTCAAAGTCATGGCTCCCATCAGATAAAAAGGAAAGAAAACAAAGGAGGAAGCAAGCCATAATCAATATTTGGCAATGAATGGAGTGTGAACAGTGTGCAATAATATTTAATTACGCTTTTTATTGTTGGAGAAACCTTGTAAGAACAGCTTCTCATTTATTCCATCCCACTACAAAATAGTCAATTCTAAACACCAAAATGACTGATTCTATTGTTCTCCTTGTACACAGTCAAGTCAACCGTTTCAACTCTGGCAAAATGCATCACTTTAACGTAGCTTAAGTGGTCAGTGCTATTTCTACATCAAAACAACTATAGGATCTGACTCATTTTGTAACCTGGCTCCATGAAGCAGGAGAGAGAATAATAATGGATATATCCATACTTGAGGCTCCAGGTAAACTGCATTTCAAACATTCACAAAGCAAGTAGCTTTATCTTAGAACTCATCAGAGGTCCCTTTGCAAAATGCTTCATTCATCTCCATTCCACTGAAGCCACACGGGGAGCTCACCACGTCTCTAGTAAGAGGTTAATAACACACCCAAAGAATGTGATGCTGTGCTATGGGCTGTATTATAATTCCCAGGCATCAGGCTGTCTCTCCCTCAGTGACTCGCCGCGTGTTGCACGTACAGGGAGAAATTAACGAGATGACTACTTTCCGCAATGTTTGACTATGCTCTTGCTACCCTGAGAATGTCCCAGTTTGTGTTTGAAGGTCTGAGTCCCTGGGCACTAGGGCTGGTTGCTTGTTTTACAAATGGATGAGTCGTTTACAGGCTTCTACCAGCCATGGATTCATAGGTTGCTGTGGAAAAGCACCAAATCATGTAAATTATAATCAAGTGACTGAAATATATAAGTAAAATCAGTAGTAAAGTTACCCAGGTTTCCAGTACCCACTGCCCTATTACTGGAATGACAGAGACATTTACAGGTCATGACCCTGTCTTGAGTCCTTTTTTTCCCTGAAAGTTAGAGGTTGCAAATAAAAGAATCCTTAAAAAAAGATATCTTCCAGGATATCAACCCCTGGTGGCGCAAGGGGTTAAGACACAACCTATGAAGCTATCTGCAGCCACTGCAGCATTAGTTCGATCCCCGGCAGGCCAGGGAGCAACCCACATGGCACAGCAGACCTCTCCTGCCTCGCCTGCTGCTCCCCTCAGCAGTGTATTTCAGTCAGTCTGCCTGTTCTATTCCCTACTCTGTCTCTGGTGAATCCTCTCACCCCACCACCCCACCCCGCACCTCTGGCCTGTACTCCAGTTCTTCTGTGCATAAATAAATAAATAAATCTATAAAAAAAAAAATATCTTCCAGCAGCTTCAGGAAGAAAAGAAATGAAAATTTTTGAGCATATGACTCTCTTCCAGGCATTGAACTGGAGGGTTCACCTCCATCACTGCCTTGGGTGCCTCCAATGACCCTAGGGAGTAGGAACCACATCTCATGAAGAAGCTGAAGTTCAGGGAGGCTGAACAGCTGACCAAGGTGATACAGTTTATATTTGACTGAGATTCCAATAAAACAACACTATGAGCTGTCAACCTGTGTTGGGGATGTTGAAACATAATGAGGTGCCTTCATGAAAGTTCAACCAAAAAATTATAAAAAAGAATCCATCAATTGGTGTTCCACTGCTGACACTACAAAGGAGGCAGTCTTCAAATTTCTTCCAGTTTCATCAGTTGATTAACAACAAAAATAAATTTTTAAAAAGTAAGTTATAAGCACTTCTGTCCTGATATTTCATATGTTCTTCCATTCTACATGTTTTGGATAATGTTTACATTATTAGAATGAAATGCAAGATCACTATGAAATGCAAGCAGAGCAGAAAGAGAGAGGGTACTGTAGCTTGAAGCTACAGTTAGAGATTGTAATTATGTGTAGTAGCAATGCACACAGCTAATTGTTAGAGAATGACAGAGAAGTGAAATGACTTTTCAGCTTTAGGTGGCACGACCTTTCTGGCGGGGGAGGGACAACAAAATGGAATTTACAAATTCTGAAATCCCTTTAAGGGGTTAAAGTGGTGCAGGGGTTAAAGTCTCAGCACTATGAAGCTATCTGCAGCCACTGCAGCATGAGCTCAATGCCCAGCCAGGGAGCTGACCCACATGGCTCAGCCATATTAGCAGACCTCTCCTGCTTGCCCGCTGCTACCCTCAGCAGTGTACTTCAGTCAGTCTGCCTGTTCTGCTCCCCACTCTGTCTCTGGTGAATCCTTTCACTGCTCCCCTGCACCTCTGACCTAAATCCTAGTTCTTGTATGCATAAATAAATAAAAATACATCTTTAAAAAATTTTCAACTGGATGGTGTCACTTACATGTAGAATAGAGAGAAGCCACACAAAGTAGCAAAGCCAAACCTTAAAACCTATGCTTGAAAGCTGACCATGGATCTGAGGAATCCAGAGAGGGAAGGGGTTGGGGAGGGGAGGAGTTGGTAGAAGATTCTGGGTGCTTTGGTGGTGGGAGAGCTATGGTGACCACTCATGAGGGGAGAAATCCCACATGTCAGCATATTAGCAAGAATTCAAAATAATGGTACTTTGTTAAAGCATAAATAACCAATAAAGAGGGTATTTCATAAATAGCTCTCTTCTGGTCACAAATTAAACCAAACCAGTCATTTATTTTAGTAATTAAGTCTAAGGGATCCTCTTAACTTTCTATTAACACCTGCAAAATTGCTTTCTATTAACAACTGCAAAAATGGCAGGTTCTCTAGAAGGTGAATAAGGCTGGTATCTTACACTATCCGATGTAAAGTTTAGAAAGCTATTATGATGGTCACACATTCTGTTTTCAGATGCAAGCATTTAGGCACTTCATTTGGATTCACTGTAAGTTGCAAATGGAAAGAAGCATGCACTGTCAACCAGTGGAGCTGGAAGAAACTACACAATTCTAATTCTACAATGTTGTGAAAGAAAATCAATAAATCATCCTTTCATTGTAATATAAGAAGAAATCATGCCACTCGTAAGCTCCCACTGCATAGATATATGCAACGTGAAACCTCGACTCAGCAAAAAGTCTTAGGAAGATTGTTCTCCGTCTACAGAGCGTGAAGTAAGGGGAGGGCTGATGAGAGCCGCTGAGAGGCGCGTAAGGAGCTGCTACCCATTATCCTCATTTCTGATGGGTAATTTGCTCTCGTTTGTACAGAACAATCTAAACCTTACACAATAATTATCACAGACTGAAAATGAGCAATTCTTTCACTCAAAGCTGAATCACAGAGATCACTTACAAGACCGAGCAATGGAGGGTAAAATGAATTCAGCAGGTGTGGGAGGCTGAAGGTTTGATAGGCAGGAAGGATCTTTTTCATCACAAAGTTAGTAATAATGTTGACCAATACCAGCTCGAAAAAACCATTTAGCCTCATCAACAGGAGGAATCATGAACTTGCTGAAAAATTAATAGATACAAAATGAAATTTTGTCACTCTGCACATTTTCAGGATGCTCTACTCTCAAAATGAAGCTATTCATTACTTCTTAAGAAATATAAAAAGGGAATTTAAAAGTTTAAGTGCATAACCTAATGGTTGTTTTAAAAGTTAAATACATCTTGGCTGAGTTGTTCTGCTTTTTTATTTCTGAACTTCATACAGACCTCTGGGTTAAATCTCCAGAATCCTTATTAACCAAGACATTATAAACCCCCAAAGGCTGAGTGATTTGCACCACAAAACAGAACTGCAATTCATTTTCCAAACTCTTTTTAAAAAGCATCAATCATCAGAAGGTTTGAATCTTTGGGGCTGGAGGGAATGGTAGGACAGAAAGTAGAGGTGAAAGAAGCAAGTTGCTACTTTTAGAATTTGAAAATAGCAATCACCAGCTACATGACTTGTATAAAAATAAACCCTCAGAGAATAGTGTCAAGGTTGAGAAATCCTAAATTGAACCACCATTCTCATTCTCTTGATGCCTAATTTCAAATTCATGTAATTTTTCATGTGTCCCTTCACTGAGGATCAAGATCACAATGCTGTCAACAAAGGTAAATAAAATGCTAAGATGTTTGGCCACAATCCAGTTGTTGCCTGGGAAAGCCTGTGGGAAATGAACTCCAGTCCCTTTCTTTCAAGTAATAAGAGGTGGCCCCATGCATGACCAGAGATGAGGGAGGTGTAAGTATCGAGCCTAAGCGAGAATACCCCAAGTCACTTGGATGTGTTACCTCCCCCGATCCAGAATTGTTCAGGACCTACTGATACCCAGCACAAAAAGGATGCTAGGAGCCAAGTAGGAGACAGGAGAAGTAAAAGGTAGTTCTTGTCTTAGCATCACAGAGTTCACCTGTGTTTCTGCCCCTTCAACACCACCCTCTTTGACCTGCTGTGTCCATCCAGGGGATTAGGATTGTAACATTAGGTCAGCACCATCTCAGACTATCACAACAGAATTGAGTCCATTTCTCCACCTGACTAATAAGAAAATAAGTCCCAGACAGGGGACAGCTTTGCCAAGCGTACCAGACATTCTTGGACACTAGTTCAAAGTTTCTCGTAGCATCCTCTTTGCACAAGAGTCATCTCAGAGGCGTTACATGCAGACACTACTCCCTTCACTTTGGGCTCCTCCTACTTCTTGCTTCCTGTCTGAGGTCTCTGCTGATGTCATGGCAAGGGAAGTCCATGCTAATGTACTCCAAACTCGTGTAGATACTGCCTAGAAGTGAGATCATGTGTGAGCAACAGGGAAAGCCAACCAAGGGGCAAGAACTCCTGCCTTTAGTCTTCCTGGCACAGTTCTGAAGCTATTTCAGAAAGTTCCGTCGAATCGCACCTGGGTTGCGTGCAATGGTGGTAGATTTGATGACACTTTCTTGTTCAGGCTTCCCAGCTCCTGTTTCACTATCCTGGAAATAAAATTCTTGAACTTCCTCCAGCTCTGCTTGTAGAAAATTGATTTCAAGACACGAGACTCCGAACGCTTTCTATTTGAGTTAAGAAAAACAGGGGGTCCTTTAAATCCCCAGTGCAGAACACCTAAAGAGTCATACATATCTCTGTGCATACAATCCTAGGGAAAATCTTATACACAAACTGAGCCCCAAACAAGTAAGATTTAGATTTTTTGAGCCATTTCTGAAATGACCAAATAAGAATATGAGGAAGTCTTGAAACATAGCTATATGGCAGGCATATTTTTAAGTTTCTTCCAGGTAACACTGATCATCTGTTGTTTCCTTAACAGGACAATCCCTAAGAATTGACACCCCAAACACCAAAGGGTTGGAAGACCTCATCATTGTCAGTTCGACATCAGAGTTGTTTTTTCAAATTGGACACTTTTTTCCAAAATGAGATGTGCATTAACCATGGAATGCAAGATTATTTTAGGCAGCAGATGGACAAATACTTTTCAGCTTTAATCTTCATGTATTCATTTTTTAATGTATCAATAAAATATGGCAGGTTATCCAAGCATAATTTCATAGTTATCATTACATAGGATGAGGTTTAAACAAGTTTTCTTATTTAAACAGTGAATTGATATAAATAAAATGATTTGTTCAATACTGAGCTATTCACATGAAAGGTGGCAAAATGTTATGATAATAAAGGCACGTCAGTGATTAAATGGTGTGATGATTTCATAAGACAGTTTAAGAGATATTTGTCTAATTCAAATCATGTTCATTCAGAGAATGTGATCACTTCACACCCCTCACACATACGTGTATATACTACCAGAGAGAGCCCTGCTCCTTCTGTTACCTGCCAATTACTTTATAATAAGTTACCCTAAAACTTAGAAATGAAAACAACCATCTATTATTCTCATGTATTCTTTGGCTCTGGAATGTGGACAAAGCACAGCAAGGCTGGTTTGTCTCTGCTGTAAGTTGCAAGGCAGCAAAGGGAAGCTGGGGACTGTTTATGGCTCATCCACTCATGTGTTTGGCAACTGATTCTTGCTGCCCACTGGGATATGCATGTGTGACTCTTCATATGACAGGGACACAATCTGGTTCCAAGAGTGAAAATCCCAGGCCTCCCTGGTGGCACAACAGGTTTAGACGCAACCTATGCAGCTGTCCGCAGCCACTGTAGCACGAGTTCGATCCCCGACCAGGGAGCTACCCACATGGTGCAGCAGACCTCTCCTGTCTGGCCTGCTGCTCCCCTCAGCAGTGTGTTTCATTCAGTCTGCCTATTACAGACTGAGGTGAGAAGTTTTTCTCGCCTCAGCTCAGCAGTCACACAACATCACCTTCCTCACCCTCTATGTATCAGTGCCTCACAAAGGTCCATGATAGAGGAAAGGTGATGCCGACCCCACTTCTTGGAGGGGAGTCACAAGATTATGGATGAGCATACATGACCAGATATCTTACTTAGGCCATGAAATTAAGATGACTGTATGCCCAAAGTTACCAGGAGTCAGGAACTGGAAATCCCTGAGATGGTTTTAGTACAATCTTAGAAAATCTGAATTTCCTATTGCATAATATTCAAAATGTTCAGAACAGAGGGACATCTCTGAATCTCCCTCTGAATGGGATTCGTACAAGAATTAGTACCAATGGATGTTCAACAACTCCCTCAAACTCTCCAATGTGAAGTCTTTGCCTTGGGATGCCAGTGATTTACCTGCAGGCCCCAAACACAATGGATCTGCCTAAAGACAGTTCTCAGCACTTTCAAGTAACTTCAACCACTCAATAGTAATCTTTTCTTTTGGTTTATTTGCCATTAAACACTATGAAACTCCATGATCTGTGGATGGATACAGTGTGCATTGAGGGTCTTCTACAACCAATGTAATGAGGGAGATGATAGCTCCAAGCGTTACTGGAAACTCTGGGGACTCTACCAGTCCAGAAAGTGACAGGCCTCTGAAGACGATGTGACCTTGTATGTTAGATGGAATTGTTTCACAATTTGTTGTGAATTGAAAACTACAGAGCTGGCATTAATATTGAAAGAATATCTGATACCAGTATTAAAGTGAGAAGAGCAAATATTCCCAACTGCAAGACAGTCTGCCATTTTCAACATCAAATTTTTATTTTAAGAGTTGGCTTCCTTGAATGTCTCTTAGTATTGCTGAATTCCATTATTTAGGCCAAGGGCAAAACTGAACACAAATATATTTTATGTTTTAAGAAAACGTATCTTTCCCTGCATGCAACTTAGTCATGGGTCAAGATCACAGCTCAAGATAAAGGGTCAGTCTTCTTATACTAATCATAGAACTTTGCTCAGTCCTTGCTTTTATGGCCATGGTTTTCTTTGATACTGAACTGTGAAGTGAACCTAAAGCCAGCAATTGCTTTTGCTAAATAACAAAAGAACTAAAGTTGATAAAATGACCCTTCAGGAAAGGAATCATCTGGACATGATACTTCATCCCTTAACTTCAGTATTTTTCCTCTATTTATGTCAGCACAGTCACCAATTCCTCTCTCTTTGCCCAGGAACCCACTGTGAGCAAACAACAAAAATGACTTTTGATTCTGAAGCTTTCAGATTTAGATATTATTCTAAGAGAGGTTTAAAAAAAGGTAACATGTTGAAAAAAATTGGGCACAAGAGAAAAATTACTAAAAAAAAATAGCTAGGTAAAACTAAAAGGAATCATTATTTCCAACATAAACTATTAAATTGTGCATTATTTGGAAAAAATGGTGCCAAGTTTACCGCTGTTCCAAATCTGGAGCTATAATTTAGAAAAATGAGTCTGGTATTAGAAATTAATAAGAGTCCATCTAAAATGAAATAGATAGAATGGATGAAACATATGGAACATCTTCAGAAATAATCAGGATTTGAGAAGATAGTTTCTAGATGAGTTTTTTTTTTTTTTCAGACTAAATTGTCTCCACATCCAATATTCAGGCAAAATCATAATTATCATTAGAGAAATGGCATCCAAGTAGTAGAAATGTGTCAAGGGTAAGGTAATCATTGCCAAAGAGGAGAGACCTGCAGGGCATCTGATGGCCAAGCTAATGTTCTCATTGTCCACTAGGCAAACACAATCTTTCCAGACATAATGAGCATATCATTCGGATCATCCAACTCTTAAACAAGACTCTCAAGTAGATTTCGAGTATCAATTTAGTTTTCCAATTGGCCTAGCCTACTAGAAATAAAATGCACTAAATATCCACCCAAATAAGCTAATCTGATTTCCACTTCGGTTTTATAACAGTCTCTTTAAAGTTTGGCTCACTTGACTCAGTCCCCAGTGCCTGCTAATCCTGGGCAAACTATCAAAACCAAAAGTCTCAGCAGGGAAAGCTTAGGAGCAGACCCTGATCATCTGGTGTCTCTTACCAAAGTGCAGACACCCGGTCCAATCTGGAGAGATGACCCA